GTCGTGTGCCCCGGCCCACGCCCCCCCCCCTGCCTGTCTAGGGCCCCTGGCCGCACCCCACCTCCTGCCTGTCTAGGGCCCCTGACCGCACCCCACCTCCTGCCTGTCTAGGGTCCCTGACCGCACCCCACCTCCTGCCTGTCCAGGGCCCCTAACTGCGTGCCCTTGCCATTTCATACTGCCTCTTATGCTGGGAATGGGGTCGGGGACAGGAGGCAGCTGCTCAGCAGAGGCCGTGCACCTGCCTTGGCGGGCCCGTGTTGCTTTGTGTCAGAGCTGGCTGGGTGTGGAGGTCACGAAGGATCAGGGCGTCTCTAGACAAGACAGAAGACAGGGACCCACTTCCTTTATGTTCCTTGAGCGTTTGAGGCAAGTGGGCCACGGGTGGCGGGCAGGTGGCCTGGCTGTGAAAGACGGCCCTCCTTCCCCCAGCAGGTGCGAGCCGAGCTGCAGCCCCAGGCTCCGCTGCGGTCCTCCTAAACGCCTCCCGGCACCGGGAGCAGGCACGGTGGGAGGACGCCCTGGAGGGCAGTCGCGCCCTGTGCGTCCTCGTGGGAGTCTAGGACAGCAGGGTGCGGGCCATGCCTCTGCAGGCACGAGCTCTGGGCCAGCTGGGGGCGTGAGGGCAGCTGGGTCCCACGCGGCCGACCGGTGCAAGCCCCAGACCCCACAGCTTGAAACCCAGCAGCATGTGTGCCCAACGATGCGTCCTCTCGTAAATTAGAACAACACGGAAACCCCATGAGCTTTCACGGCGTGAAGGATACGACTGAGAATCCAGAACATGTCAGGTTTGGGTTTTCAGATGCTAAAGTGAGTCGGGGCTGCACTCCCTGACGTAAAGGCACTGGAGCAGAGCCTGCTGTGACATGCACACGTGTGCAGAGCTCACCTGCATGAGAGCACGCGCTCCCAGACTGTCGCGGGGAGAACCCAGCACCCACTCCCGACCCCGGAAACGGCAGTGCAGGCCCCCCGCACAGGGGCTCCCTGTGGGTAGCACATGAGCCACTGTGAAAGCTGTCCCCTGGAGCACCCTGTCTCCGACCTTGTCCTCGGAGGGCAGTCTGCCGCCGCCGCGAACCTCGTCTTCCTCTGCTGCCACGGAGACAGCTTCCCCACGAAGCACCTGCCGTGTGGGAAGGGAAGCTGGTCCCACACACTGGGGCTGTGGGCCTGGAGCTTTCCTTCGCAGAGATGGTGTCTTGCCGTAGGCACCAGGTCTTTCCCTGCCCCAGCCTCGAGACCTGCGGGGTCTGCCGTCAGCCATGCTCCACCAGGTGCCCACCAGGTGCCCACCAGGTGCCCACCAGAGCGGTCGAAGAAGAGCCACGGGGCCAGGCACACTCGGCAGAGACCCTGTGATTCTGTCCCACGGCGTAGGCTG